GCCAGAGGCGGATCCGGAATCTCAAACCAGAGCTAGCATCCCCCGCCATTACGAGAGTAACGTCCTAACGCGTGGCCACAACGGCGCCGGTCGCAGCTGCGCCTCTGAGGCACTTTTACAGCCACCAGACGTGAGGCGCCTGCGATCGACGCCACGCCACGAGGGGGGGGGGGGGGAGGGGGGCTGAGAACCTGCGCTCGTGTGTGTGGAGGGACTTACAGAGCACCTGCAGGCGGACATGTGCCGTCTTCAGGTCGCCAGCGGTGTTGTCGGCTAGACACTCGAACACGCCGGCGTCGGAGCGGGTGACGGTGTCCAGCCGCAGCAGCTCGCCGCCCTTCAGGTCCACCACCTTACTGCCGTCCTGCACCTGCCGTCAGGTCAGGTGAAGTGAGGTAAACTCAGGGCATGGCAGATCAGGTCTGCTCAGGTTGGGTGAGCTCACGTTGGCTCATATCAGGCTGAGCTGGGTCAGGTTAAGTCAGATTAGCTCAGATCAGATTGCATCAGATCGGGTTGAATCCGGTCAGGTTGGGCAAGGTCAGATTGGTTCAGGTCTGGTTGAGTCCGGTGAGGCTGGTTCAAGTTAGGCTGAGTCATGCGAGGTTGTCTTGTTAGGTCAGGTCAGGTAAGCTCGAGTCCGGCAAGGCTGGTTCACGTTTGATTGGATCAGGTCAGGTCGGGCCGGGACATTTCAGGCTAATTTACATCAGACTATGTATAGTCATGTAAGACCATACCATGGCGGTCTGGTCGGGTCTGGTTTGGCTTCATTAATTTGGTTCAGGTGCTGCTAGTCAGAGTTCAGAAGGGACAAGTTCACAGTAAGACAGCCTAGGACCAGTCAATCAAGCGAGGCTTTGCTGGGCGGCGTCGTGGCCCGCCAGATCAGCACGGGTTGCTGCACCAGCTAATACACGAGCACGTTAACACTCCGTTTACGTCTGCTTCTCTGTGTCAATTCAGGCCATCACGGCATCGCTGCGCTGTCGCATGACATCGTGCCCCAAATATCTTCCCCCAACTAAGTGTAATAACCCGTCCACCGCTGCGTGCTCCTTGGACGAGATTTACGAACTACTGATCACCGAAGGGAACACTGCGACGCGCTTTCCCTTTCCGATACTTTTATGCTGAGCCAGAGCCCGTACTGGGAGCCCCGCAGAGCCAGCTGTGGCTCCCCCCCCCCCCCTAATACACCGTACCCGGTCCATGGCGGCGGCGGATCCATCCGCCTGGCGGGAATCCCATTCGACGCGCGATGTTTAAGAGTGCAGTCTATATTCAAATTCGGAGTAGCCGGGCCACAATCACGAAGGTCCGCGCCGAGCGGAGGTGCCGGTGGTGGCGCGGCTCGCAGGAGCCGGCAAACGGGACGCGATGGCCGCACGCGGCGACACCTGTTGGATTGTCTCCAAAGGAAGAGGGGGGAGGGGGAAGGCAAGCTCCAAATGGTTCAGCTGCCCAGTCTCAGACTGTCACCCTCGCGGGTTGTCAAATGCCCTGCAGTGAATGCGAGAAGCTAGCTATCACTGCATGCCGCTCTGAAGCGTGCACCGGAGTCATTCCATTAGTGCAATAGTGGTGCCATAGTAGACAATAGTGGTGCCACTTTCTAAAATAGATTGGGGGTGGGAGTGGGAGGGGGGACGGGGGGCTTGACCGAAAAGGTTGACCTCAGCTACCTCCAAAAGTGATTTCTCTTCGGATTCGCTGTATGAGAATGACTTTCCATATTCGAGTTAATGTGAAATACACTTTTATGAAAGGCTTAGGATGGGGTGTAAGTCACAGACAAAAGCGTCTTATTGAATCATTAAGGGATCACTGATGGCTACCGCTGCGTTGATGGTACTGTGTGATCACCACAACCACGATTATGCGACAAATACACTTGCCACTGTTAGGAAAACATGCGATAAATTTTATCTCGGTCACCCAGTTCATTTCAAGGCTATCGCAAATCGCGGTCAACTGTTCTTTACCGTAATCCAGGCGTCATCACTTGACAACACTTGCCAGGATATTCGCAGGCTGGCTTGACATATGAAGTAGTTAGCACGACTTGTTACAGAGCATTGACAATGACAAACACATTATGCACCTGCAGGGTACCATTTGACACAACATTAATGTGATATTTATAATGACGTATGAAGGTACCTACTGCCTATTACACCCGTAGTTGCTGTAATTGTTCGGTGGTTATTTGGATGAGAATCACCTCGTTGCTCATATGCATTGAGAGGGCTGAAAGGAGCACTGGGGCGGGAGGAGGGGGCTCACATCAGGATTGGGAGGGGCTCGCGTCAGGATTGGGGGGGAGGGGTGGGGGCTCATGCCAACGAAAGTATATAGAGTGACACCACTGACAGGCAGTGAGGTGGGATTAAATTTCGTCCATAACAGTTGATAAAGCTATATACATGGGACCATTTCTCTTTAAACATAGTTGTGCCCGAAAGCCCCTTGAGGTCTGACCAACCAGCTCGACAGATCAACGAATTCGCCGCATGTGCCGCGGTGGCGCTCTGTCGCTGCTGACGGCTGACGGAGCTCGGCTTTCGCGCCGAGGCTTCAGCTGCCAGGTTTTCGATGGGCTGGCAAATTTCGTGTAACGTATTCGTTTTGAAGTGAAGCAGCATCGGCTCTCCAGACTAATTCAACACAAATTGGTGCAGCCACATTCTACTGAAATACTTTGAAGCACGTGGATGAGACCTAATGACATGATGTTCAAGGAGCCATATATCTTATTATAGCAGTGAGGATTGAGCTCTGTGGATTCGTTCCGTAACGTGGTCACTTCAGGGTAAAATTGCAGCTAGTCTAGACGGCTGAGAAAACGAGCTTTGTCGAATGGCACACTTTGTTCTTGCTCTCACGTTCGTGTACAGTTCAACCGTGGGATGAAGCGTGATATTTCCCATTTAAGTTGGCATCTCCTCTCAAACACAATGTACTCACGTGCATTTTCCATTGCAGTGAGGGAGTAAGCCAGTGCCCAGCCCCACACCAGCGTGACCCGTGAGTACAGCTCTCGGTGTTGGCGGCCGAGCGGCACGGAGGCCACCCTGTCCTCACAGAATACAGATGACCTCACTGCGGTGCCGACTGATGGCCGGCACGTGCGCAGAGACGGAGCCCGCGGGACGGGCGCTGGTCAAGCCGCAACGGTGTTGCCGCGACCGGGCGATAAGACGGCTATAACTCCCGTCCAGATGGGGATCAATTAAGCTTATCAGGTCGGGAAAGAGGCCATACGTCCGCGTTTACACAGGGTGGCCGGCGGTAAATGCCGACATTAGCCGGTGTGGGGGGCCCGGTCACCGGGGCGACTTCATGGCACGACCACCGCTAAGTGAAAGGAATGGCCCGGGGCGACTGCCGCCCTCACGCGCCTGGCCAGCGCTCAGCGGCACCACCTGTCCGGTCACCGGCAGGACGGCCCGACTTAACGACCGACGAGGGGGTGAGCAGCACCTCGTGGTAGCGCAGGCGGGTGCAGGCGTCTTGAGCGGGTAACGCCTGCTTGCATCTGCCGCTTGGTCCCATCCTTGCATGACGATAGGCATGCATCACGATAATGCGTAATGCCATGAATAACGTTCGCGGATGGTTACTCCTGAGCTAGCGACTGCCTTGCCACCCGGCTCCAGCCCTCCGCAGACCTCAGGGATGCGCCTGTCGATCTATCTCGCATCTCCCGCACCACATTGTACCTCTGCCGTTTTTCAGATAGCTGCAATTAGTGCAGCGTCCAGCGTCGTGCTCCGGTGTCCCAGGAGAGGCATCGGCCAGCACCGCCGCATTGACCGCGCGCCGCCACTCGTCGCATTAATCAGCCGTCGTCTCGTGACCTGGCACTGTCCGCGGCGATTCTGCCGCAGACAGCGCGCCAATTTGGCACAGCGGCCGTGCATAAGTAATGCTAAGAGCGGTGGCGAGTGCGGTGCACTCGGTGTGGTGGTGCATGCTGGATGAAGCCACTTGTGCTTTTGCTACATCATATTACGCAGCCACACAAAGAGGTCGATTTGCGAAGACCTTGGCTTCTGGAACAAATGTGAATAAGCCTGGTGGCGACGTGCCGTGAATAGATTCATATCTTTCATAAAGGGACCGAGCCGCACCAAAGCACGTTCTCCAACTTTATGAGTTGCCGAACTGGAATGAAATGTTTCTATAGAAAAGAGTCTGTCATACCCAGCCAACGATGCTGCTCATGCAGTCGAGATTTTGGATCTAGGCGCATACTGTTGTAATAATAACGCGCGTCCGGGCGGCCGGATGAATACCCTGCGCCCAGGTGGGGTGGGTGTGGAGGGCAATTTGACCCCCTGAGATATCAGCAACTATGAGAGCTAGAGACACCAAATTCGCAGGGTGTGTTGACCTGTACACAAACTTACTTGCATCGTAACTTGATGTTCCCTTGTGATGACCGTGGGGTTGAGTAAGGTCAAACAATGTTTAACTCGCGATTGATGTCCAAAGTACCCCACACATTATCACGCCACCACCGTGCACGTTAGTACTTGTTTTAGAAGAAAGGTCAATGGTGCTCATTTCAGGTCAGTGGCCTGGTTTGGCCTCTCGGAGGTCTTGGTGACCAAAGTCATGTACGAGTACTTCGATTTCTGCATTTGAATAAGCGTAAAGGATTATGCTGGACAACATCTTCTTAAAAACAAAATGTTAGATCATGTTAGATCAGTGAACATGAATCATGAATCATGTTAGATCAGTGAACTATTCTGACCTTAAAGAAGTTCATGGAAGGTGTATAATGCGGTTCCTGTTATCGATTAATTCAAAATGAGCATCATGAAATACACTTTTACAGCAGCCTCAGGAGTAAAAAGCAGGCTAATTTTGATCTTGATCTGGCCTACATGCATGGCCCTAGGTCAAAGCAATATGTTAATTCATTTTTGTGCTGCCTAAGAAACTATCTCAGAGATGTACGACTTTGTCTAACAACCCGTTGTTGCATCAGATTGAACGATTCCCTAGAAGCTGACTTCGCTGAATCCATGTCCTGACTTTGACCTGTCGTAGATTAATAACCTCACAAGGTAAGTCTTAATTTTGCATACAAATTGGTCTTTTATTCAATTGTCTACAATGAGGCAAAATGTGGCGTGGCTACACCGCGTTGTTCGGAAATCATTTGGGAAAACTTTCGGGGGTAAATTAAACCGCACCCGAGCGCATGTTAAAGAATATATCTGGAACTGGAATGCTGGTACTTCACTGAATTACCGGCCTTCTTTACATCCCTGTGCTAGGGCTGAAATAATTCGGCACTATTGCGCCATAACGACCAAACAAGACATTGCAAACTTTTGTGATATGGATCAGTGACAAGTGCCAGCACTTCCTGCGCATGCAAATGAGATATTGTCTCTGAAGTTACTGAGCTCTTCCGTAACAAAACACCTGGAATCTCATCCCCGAGAGGCCGTTGGGACTTCATGAGATTTTAGACTTAGCACATCTGAGTACAGTACAAAGAGATGAATAAGACAGCGTGATATATTTCTTGCAGACTTTTGAGACCTGTGTTGTATCCAAATATTCACCCCCAGCTCGCATATGTTTTCGTTTTCGCCAACCACGTTTGTGGTGACGTATTTCGCAAAAAAAAACAACTAAGGGGGCCATGTCGCATACTTAGTGCAGGTGAACTGAAAATCTTGTCTTGATGCAGCACTTATCATAGCTGAACACTGACTCCTTATACAACACCTGCCCTCACAAGCATGCGGTAATTTATAGTTTTTTGACAGCAGGGGTACTCTACTGTGACCCCTTTTTAATACCAGATCGGTACGTTAGTGCAGCAGTGAAAAAACGGACAGTAGCAGCCACGTGACCTACGCTAATACTCTGACCATTTTCCATTACTTTCTATGCATACATACGCGTGCGTGTCACGTTACTTTTGCCGGCCGTACCAGACAACTTAAAATACAACTTAACAACTTGAAATACAAAAACAAAAAAAATATCAGCGTAGTTTGTTTTTAAACATACAATGCAGCGCCCGTCTTCGCGGGCTCTTTTAAGGAGCGCCACTGAATACCATATCATGTCAGCATTCTGGGGTGGCGTCAACCGGAAACAGAGCCCGAGTGACCTTAGGTGACCTTGACCTGGAATGATCCATGCACCACGAGCTATTTTATCAATCCTTTTCATTTACGATATAGCGGTTTTGCGGATCATTTTTGCATCAAATTAGCAGCTTCGATCCGATCGGAACTGTGCCCCATCAAACTGTGCACGGTCTAAATCGCCGGTGAAGTTTACAATATTGCCACTTCACACTTTCTGAACCGCCGAAATAGACGATGGCGCACATACAAAGCTGATAGTTCTTTGGGAAACCTCGAATTGCCACATTTTCACGGTAAAGGTTTTCGGAAGTTCAGCACAACATTATGAAAACCTTTGCCGCTTAGCATCAAATCATTACTCTTACACCTGACCTACCAATTTTAGCTTTCTACCATGTCAGGTCCCCTGAGAGGCCACACATAACTGAAATCTTACCACGACCTGCGCATGTTTTCCACCCTCATCGTTTTCCAACATTGCTCTCACACATCTCACGTGGAATCGACGGGCGATGCCAATTTCTCTTGCCACCAGAAGCACATTCATAACTGTCGTGATTGCCACCACATGGTGACCACATGGTGACATAACCAAACGTTGACGAGGGCTCAACAGCGACTTTTCAGCACACCCGACAATGCCTCCGAGAACAAGACTAACGGGCCCGAGGAAGGCGTCGAATGTAGGTAGAATTGCACCAGCAATCACGGCTGCAGTGCCCGCACTGGACCTACTTGACCTACCCGGTTCTACCCGGACCTACGGACCTACCGGACATATCAGACCCACCGGACCTACCTTTTTTCGCCACTTGACACGCGGTTTTGGGTTGCCGCTGGCATGACACTCGAGGGTGGTGTTCTGTCCCTGCTCGACGATCACCAACCCGCTCTCAGGCACCGTCCGTATGAAGGGACCATCTGCGACAGCGTGATAAATCGGCTGCGGGTGAGCGCTCATTGCCTTCAATTAGTGCGATTCCCGCTTGAATAATGCACGTTTTTGCGCACAGGCGCATCGTAGGCAGATGATAGATGAACCAGTTGTGCCATACGTCATGTGCAAATGGATAATTGTGTGAAACCAATCCTAATAACGTCGCCTGGTTTTGCGGGACGAACCTTAATGTACGTGAAGGAGAAATGTGCTGTGCACTTTGTGACATGATTGCATACTTTATCTTGACCTGACATGCGGCGCTGCTCTCACGCGGAACATTCAATGCCAGGTTAATGATAATCCAATATGTGGCATATTGTTTTTCATGCGCACAGACTGAACATCAAACATTCGTGGTGAGCCTAGTCCGCGTGGCAGCATGACGTTCAGCATGTACTCACACTGGACGTCCAGCGTCTGTGTCTGCTCCAGGTCCCTGTCACTGAGCGCCACGGAGCAGGTGTAGACGTCGGCGTCCGCAGGTCGCGCCTGACTGATCTGCAGGTTGTAGCCGTCCGAGAAGGCGGAGACGGCCCTGTTCTCGCACCACCTGGTTCTTCACCGTCAAGACGTGTCGGTCCCTCTTCCACATGACCGTCATCGTGCCTGGAGGAACACTGGCTGCAGCTGACCTCGGAGAGACTAGGCCGAGCTACCTGCGGTACTGACGCGACGAGTGACGGTATTGCGTGTGGTGACATGAATCAGATTCGTGTGACACGGGCGCACTCTGATCTCGGTGATGAATGACTCACGCAGGAAAGTATTTTGAAACCTGACCTTAGACCTCTCGGACTTACGCGTAATACATGCATAAATGATGCGTAAAAATCGGTCCAATTTGTTCCAGGACTCCATGGGCTTCATATAGGCACCATGTTGAATTAATGCCGGCGTTTCAACTGAGGGAATGTACTAACGCGTGCTGAAAAAACTGCACGGTGTGTCTATGGGTGACATTGGGCAATGCAGCAACGTTAAAGATCTTGCAAAGCGGAAGTCTTCAGCGCAACCGCCTTTATTTCCAACCTGAAAACACTACACGGTGGTAGTGTTTTATAGTACACAATCCGTGACCTAGGTGGTTGGTTCACAGTGAGGTAAAAATTGCAGAATGCAATCAGCGCGCATACGGCAATATACCTACACTCAGCACCCGATGCCATGTCCTTCACGCCGTTGTGTTCGTTATGGAGCAAATGACAATGGGAAGATCTCGAATGGATAGCTTTGAACAAGATAAATGGCCGTTTTCACCCGAACATTGTGAAGGAGACTGGTGGCGTGCCAAGAAAACCTTGCGGTATTCGAGAGGTGCTCCTTATGGATGGGCACGCAATCTGCGCTGCCCAAGCGATCGTGACAGGTTTAAATCTTCTCAACGATAGTCCCCGCACGTAGGTGATTTCCAAGAACGGAAATTAATGTCGCGCACAGAAACAAAATCGAGCCACTTTTGAACTCTCCCATTATCAACGGCGAACGCATTCCTCGACTGGATGGAAGGATTGTCAATGAAGAAGAATGTCTTTCAATTCTTGCCACCACGTGACGCACGCACAAGATGCTGTAAGTTATGGTATGTAATGACAGCCAAACCTTCTTTTGTACCCAGTAGCATTCGCCATATTACAAATAACTGCCGCGAGCAAAAGAAGGGACGGAAACGTAATCACCGCTAAAAAGGTCCAAAAGGTCCAAAAGTACTCGGAGGTAGCGTCTCGACTGGGCCGTCACGCGGTCTTGAAATAACCACGGGAAAATGTTCGTGCGAAACGAGCATAATTGATACATCATGAGCTCTAGAAAGTTTCGCTGGACTATTTAAGTCGGTCCTTTGTGGTCTCCGGCAAGCCGTAGTGTCAGGGTCGGAGGCGAGGGGGGGAGGCTTTGGGGTGGCACCTCACGGTCGGCGAAGGTTTGTGAAAATGCTGCCGGGCGTGGCGTTCAAGGGTACATAGCCGGTAGCTTTTTCCTATTTATAAACTTGATAGCTCAATTAGCTCAAGTTGACAATTTTTCAATTCAAAGGCAGCTGAATTCATAAGCAAGAGACGACAACAGCACTAAGGCAGTTCAACGTAAAACTGATGCCGAGGTCTGGAGAAGATGCGGACCAGTGCTAATGCGCACGGTGCGACAATGCGCTCTTGTACCTCAGACCAGCAGCGGTTGGCTGTCGACTGCCGGCGGTATTCGTCGCAACCGCATAAAAAGTCTGGCGACTACAGCCACGCGGATGACAGCCACTTCGAGAATAGGCCAGGGCTCGGTTGTCGACGGCAGCTCATCGCTCCTCACTGGACCGAGCGGCGATCCCACATTCAGACACGGCCCATTGTGTGGGCCTCATTGTGGTCCAACATCGCCCGCAGCGTAGCGAGCCGGTCCGGGAAAGACAGACACCCAACGCAACAGCGGACCGTCAACGCCGCACCAAAGCAACCTATCATCCTCTCTATGTCTCATGCACCCACTCGCTCACGCACACACTCACTCACTAACTCACCACTCATCCACCCACCCTCTCTCTTCCTCTCTCTTTCTCTCTCTCTCTCTCTCTCTCTCTCTCTCTCTCTCTCTCTCTCTCTCTCTCTCTCTCTCTCTCTCTCTCTCTCTCTCTCTCTCTCTCTCTCTCTCTCTCTCTCTCTCTCTCTCTCTCTCTCTCTCTCTCTCTTTCCCCATCTTCCGCATTCTTTCCTGTTTGTGCACGTCTGCGCATGTGTGCAATTTATTTGTTATTGTCCACAAACATAGGAACCAGGCATTGATAACTCGGCTGAGTTCTGCAAGGCCAGGGAAACAGCTTTTTGCGCAAAGTCGGAACAATATAAATAACTATTTAAGAATACCAAGCAAAAATATCAAGACCCCAGCTTTTCACCACTGTTAGATGGAAGATCTTGTTATGACAATAAGCCACCTCCAATATAAAAGTAGGCACTGGCTAAACGGCGCTATTGAAGAAACAATGTCACAAAAAGGATCACAATGGGAGCATGTAGGTAAAGCATAACTAACAGCATTGGTTGACCGATACCTTATATATATATATATATATATATATATATATATATATATATATATATATATATATAGTTACTTATATATACATAGAGTGTAATGGTTAGTTCTTTTCGGAGCAGGATCTTTAAACGCACATTGCAACAATATGCCTTATGTCATATTTTAGTATCATTGTTCATGACATATGCTGAAATATTTTTACAACTAACTGCATTTTCTTTCTTTTCATTGCTGTTGTATTTTTTCCTTGCGTATTGTTGAGGAAAATGACATTGGCTAGCCTGACAAGTTGATGAATCTTTGAATATAACGGGAGTGTTCCGCACTTGTATATATTTTAACTGAGACGGCCATCTTACGGATCATTCAGTGCAGTTAACAGGTCTGTCCATTAAAAAACAGTCTGGTTCCTGAACTTGATGTCTGCAAACTGCTGCAAACTATGTTTCGTGCAGCCTATTTCAAGTTCATCCAGACTTGCATGATCTTATCGAAGCGTCAAATGGCGCAGTCACCTCATTGGTCAAATAGCGCTCGAGGCCAAGAAAGCAGTCTCATCGGGCTATTCGTGTCCGGCTTATGCAGGCACGATTTCTGGCATCACCAAACTTTGATTGGCCCTGGGCCTAGGTGATGCCGTTCATGCAAGTTTGGAACATGAATCGTGTGTTGTGCTCTCAATGCGGGAACTTGGACAGTGGAGCAGGCTGTAATGCAAATAAGACTGGGAATCAAAGAACTTTTGAGCTAGAACCGAGCATATGCAAGCAAGAGAACGCTACAACATCACGAACAAATATGCACGAACACCACGGGAAAGGGCCGAAATACGCGCACATAACGATATTCGGTTTATGGGAAACGCCGCATCCCTAAGCGCGACACCTCTCGACAGGTTTATGCACTACAAGTGAGTCAACCCGCCCGCCATGGTGGCAACTTCGCACGACCAGTCTGACACCCACTCTGTCTTCATAGAAATACCTTTGACGGTCCCTGCAAAACTCCAAGGGACCCACGGTGATGTGCATGCCATTCGGTTAAAACGTGGCGTTATGTGAGTAACGGTGATGTCAAAACTTACCGAGGTCCTGCAGCACAGGGCAAGGCGGTTTTACCATGACTTACCGAGGTCCTGCACCACGCACGGCAGGATGGTGGTGTTGCCCTCCTTGACTACATGCGTGCCGGAAACAGAGGAAAACCGTGGCGGAAACAAGTTCGCCTGGTCGTACGTCTGGTAATCATAGTCGAAACTGCCGTCCGTGGCTGGCACCGCAGCTGAAACGAGCCAACAGTCTCGTGAGGTCAACGCAAACCAGTCTAAATCAAATCGGTACAAGCCAGATAGGCGGGGAGATGGGTTAGACGTCATTGAGGTGGATGTGGCCTCTCGAGGCTCAAAAGAGTGGTTGGTAGGTCCCTGTCAGGTGACGGAATACAGGCCATTGTGCTTCACGAATCCCATGCGAAAACACTAGCACACAAAGGATACTTCACAGGAAGGTAGCCGAAGGAAATATACACGCAGCATACCTGTTAACACTGGCTTTACCGGCTGGCGGGCACAATAGTGATGCATTTGGATAAGAAGTTGCGCACGCATTTCAAGATCAGCAAAAACTCCCACAAAAGCATTCAGTTTCTACCTCCAACCCAACAAGGATGCATGTGCTCAGAGACGCAGCCAGAATTTCATACGCGGAGAGGTAGCAGGATTTACGACGGTGTGACGAGCTAATTTTTCACGAACGAGTCAAAACCCCACTGACGGTACCCACGTACTGAGAACAGACTAACATACCCCCAATACGCTGTAAGATACTATGCATATCGTACTGAAGGTTGTGTCCCACCTTCAAGATATGCTTCAAATACATACTCTGGTTAAACTTCAGGACTAGTTACGTCTAACAGTAAGGCATGAAAGTAATAATAAAACATGGTTTGTGCCATTGTAGGACATCACAATGCAATGAGAAGATTAGTTTTATTTCTTCGTGCCAAAATTATGGAATCTGCTAGGAGCTATCATAAGTCATTCCGGACCAGAGGTACCACTTTTTAGCTGTTTTGACTCGCATATTGCGTGCCTGCGGGCTTAAAAGTGCCACGTCTACCGTTCTGAATGGCGTCAAAACAAATCAATGTTTTTGATTGGCACAGTGGTCGTTAAAGGCCATTTACCGAAAACCGCACTGGTTGAAATTTAAATTAGCGTGTCACTACGGACCGTGTGATACCTTTTTCCCACAGCCAAGGGACGCTTCCGAAAGCAGCCACTGTGCTGAACGCCTTAAAGGGCAGAGGAATTCAGAGCCATAGTATAGGTTTCGTTAAGTTTGTGGTATGATAGCTGCATGCTCGTAATTTTTGCCACACATGAAGTGTTTCAAGCTTTCGTGACAGGCATTACCGCAGCATCTTGGCAAGTTACTGCATTGGAAACATTACACAGCACAAATGTTGGAAAAGCAATGCAAACATAAAGTATTACTTCCATACTGTTGAGTAGAGAGTTCAATGCCATGTATCCCCTCGGAGTGGCTACTTCAAATAGGAATTCTGAGCTATTCAGAAGGGCTTCGAGAAAACTCGTGTCATCGACTAAATCTGACCTGTCCCATTCAACCATACGTGAAAGTGTGAAACTGTGTCCCCACTCCCTTTAATGACCTACCGATGTGAGTTTGCCCTGGTGCCTTAAACAACTGGTTCAGCTGTGTGCCGTGCATATGCGCTTGGCTTTCTGCTAGTCTTGTTATGAAACTGCGGCTGTTGGGCTTTACGTGTCGCTGCCTATAGCAGCCTCTATGAGATTTAAAGCAGCAATAGTTGTCTTGATCACCAGATTTCCAATTGATGTTCAGAAGTGCCGTGTTGAAAAACTGCACCCGAACCTGACCGGGGGAGGCGGGGGGAGGGGGGGGGGGGGGGGGGGTGTTAAGGCCCCATGAGTCGCCCCTGGGCTGTGCTACTGCCTGTGTTTACTGTAAGACAATAGAACTACTCAACAAAGTGCAGTTGAATGACTTCCATTGTAATGCCTTCGTCGGCGAAGTAAATATGTCACGTCAAAGAATCAAGTGGTTTATATTAGCTACCCACATACCAAACGCATTCATTTTTGCCATTATACTTCCATATGCTTGATGAGCAGGACTAGTGATCAATGGTGTCGCACGCTCGGAATTACGGTAGCTGTTTAATGGGCTCTTCCATGAACCTCTTTCCTTCTCAACACCTGGCTTTTCCAACAATGAATCCACGACCACGTGCGCAGTTAAAAGTAACTCGCCTCCCAGCCTTAGAAAGAGCCTTTGCATCGTGACAGGCAGACCCACGAAATATTCCGAATCTGACAGGTGATCAAATGAACACATTGTGGGGCATTTTCGTATGCCAGTTGAGGCCGCTGAGCAATGACCAGGTTATTGAAATATGGAACTGATTTGGCTCCATACGTAGAAAGGCTCACTTGCCATTCTTGTTTTGGATTGCTTTGGTGTTATGCAGAGACTGCGTGTTATACTGTCTGCGGGTGCGGGTCAGTGCGGGTCATTGCTGGTCAGTGTGGGTCAGTGTGGGTCAGTGCGTGTCAGTGTGGACCAGTACGGGTCAGTGTGGATCAGTGCGTGTCAGCTGTGGGTGAGTGCGGATCAGTGTGGGTCAGTGCGGGTCAGTGTGGGCCAGTCACACTCCACAAAGCGCAGCCATACCGCAGAATGATCAACATGTAAAAGTCGAAGAAAATGATATGCCGCGCTTATTTGGGATGAGTCCGTATAAATGACATATTTTCAAACCGACGGTCCTATATACCCTCTGAACCAGAAGGGCATATCTGGTGATCAAATAAGACGTTATCAGATGCGCTGGGATGATTTGACCAGGCATGACTTAGACATGTTGGCAAGTTGACGAGGTGGGAGATAGAAAG